TGGTGTGGTCCCTGATTAGGAGATCAAATTGTATTAGCCTTCTCCACCCCCCTGACTGCCAGTCGGTATAGTCAATGCAGGAGTGGTATCGAGGCGCAGACTGAAATGTATACTTACTGTCCTGCTGTCAACTTCAAGGCTTTGGGGAGTGAAAGGTATCTACCTTACTCAGGAAGAAGCTGGGTAGGGTCTCTGTCCCAAAGTTAATCCTTATAATTTTTAACATGATTTTTTTTTTTTGTATTTTCTTGAGTTCAGGAGAATAGAATAACATGGATTTTTTTTTTTTTTTTTGAGACAGAGTCTCGCTTTTTATTGTCCAGGCTAGGCGTTGAGTGGCTGTGGCATAGCTAGCTCACAGCAACCTCATCTCCTGGCCTCAAGCCGAGTCCTGGGGTACCTCAGCCTTCCCAAGTAGGCTGGCGCAGCTACAGGCATGTCACCAACATGGCCAGCTTATTTTTTCTCATATTAGTTGGCCAATTAATTCTTTTATTATAGTAAGGATGGGTCTCTGCTCTTGCTTAAGGGCTGGTTTCGAATTCCTGACTCAAAGGCAATCCGGGCCCACTCAGCCTCCCAGGGATCTAGGGGATTACAGGCGTGAGGCCACGTGCCGCTCGATAAGGTATTTTTTAAAGAGCCATCCAAGCAAGGTTTTAAGAATGACATGAAAAGGTGGAGCGTGCATATTTGTAAGGGGAGAAAAGGAGGTAGGGAAGAGAGAAGGCAAAAGGTCACAGAACATGTGTTTGGCTGGCTGGTATGAGGTGATTTAAGTAACTTTCAGGGCCAATTTGACCTGGAAGGGTTCAGACAACATATAGTATAGCCATAGTTTACTTCTCCAATAGTATTCTAGGCGTAGAATCATGATTTTCTCAAACACACAGTGGATCAAGTGATCTGATACAAAGGGCTTCTCATTTATTCAAACTAAGCTGGTAGGAGAAAAATTAAAAATGTAATTTTAGTATAGTCAATTTAGTACTATGTTAGGTATATTTTATTTTTGGGATCAACCCCCCCAGCTACTGATGAATTCCTCTATATATGGACCTTGAGTTACAGAGCTGAGAATCCCAAGCAAGGATATGAAAGGTTCAACTTTGCTGACAGGTAATGCTGACTGTTAACTTCCTTTTATTTCCTAACTAGCATTGCGTAGTCTGATTTGCTTTGGCTTTAAGTCCACCATTAATTGTGGGCCTCCATAATTCTTGTTTACCTTTACTCTTTCTGTACATCCCTTTGCTTGGGTTTCAGCCACTGAGAAGAGTTTTAATCAGCTGAGGTCCGAAGATGCTGTTCTTTCAAGTGATCCCATTGCATTTTCAAGCTCTTTCCTAGTCATCTGAAGATGTGAGACACTGGTAAGCCTCTAAACTCTGCCTTGCTGAGAACTGTAACATAAATATGCACAGTTATTCACAGGTAGAAAATGGACATCAGCAGGCCAGGGAGGTCTAATTTCTTATGTATTTCACTTAGGAGGTAGATGTGCATTTCACGAGGGCATGGAAAAAGTGTAAGTGTGAATATTGGTTCAATAAGCAAAAAAAAAAAAAAGGGGGCATTTAAAAAAACATCAAAACTGCAATAAACTATCCTATCAAATAGTACACAAAAGTTGAAATTTTTAAAAATAGAAGCAGGAAGTGATCATGTATATTTTGGTTAATCAAATTATATATTATATCTAAAGATTCAGTATAGGTCTTCTATAAGAAAAGAATAAACAGTATTTTCAAACTTTTTCTGTAGTTTTAAGTACGTTGACAAATAGGATGGTGGTAAACTCGGAACTTTAAAAGTGGAGTCACGACTGGGCCATCGCAAGCTCAGAAGACACTGTTCAAATGAGAAGACACACGTCAAATGCTGGAGAGAAACCATAAACAAAGGACTATGAGGCTGTTGCTAGACCCTAGTCCCGCCACTATTTAACTGTTTGGATGTTGAGGCCAAGTTACTTTACTTGGCGCATTGATTCTTTAAGTAAACATTTCTTTGAGTTTCTTGCGATCTGTGCAGGCACCTGTGAGATAGACACAAATAACAAAAGGAGCAATCTCAGGCCCTACCACTGTCAAACGAGAGGGTGAACTCATGATTCCAGAGCTTTCTCTCATGCCTAAATTCTAATGATTGCTTTCTAACTTGATTTAAAAAAATCTGATTGACATATGATTTACAACAGCTTGCTATGCACGAATAAAATTCCTCGTTCACTCCTTCTTCTACATCACAGACAATAGAGAACAAAAGGCCTATAGAGTATAGCGGACGTTAGAGACTTTGGTTCCCTTAATAGCTAAAGGTACAAGGTTTTCAAGATGACAGTTTTAAATATCTTCAGAATGGGCTCATTCAAGAATCAGACTCAAATACTGTAAACTGAGGTACTACAGAGTGTAACATCCGATCCTGGGTTGTATTATATTAAGATATTCTTAGGGTGGGTCTGCTGTTGTAGGCAAATACAACTAGAATTAATGGCACATAAGACCTGGAAAGAAGACTAGCTGCTAAACTACTTAAAATGCTAGGAGGGCTTAACTAAGTAAAATTTAGAAAAATATTACACAGAAAAGTTTGAACAGAATTAATCTGCCTCAAATACTTTAATACTGCGTTTTAAGGCAGATGACTTGCCAGTGTCTAATATATTCTACCTTTCTGGACTTAGTATTGACAGTATTTAACACTCTCCAGATTTTATTCATCACATTCAAAAATATAAGATTTGTCTGAATCTGAACCTTTAAAATTTAAATAATTTAAAACAAGAATAATTACAGATCAACACTGTAATCAACTATTGTATTTATTGCTTGATAAATACCAAACTAAGTGGACTAACATCCTAATGTATTCCAAATGTGAAAAATTCGGGTATCGCATCATCATCTTCACATACTTTATACAAACAATTTATTCAACTATGCTGTACACAGAAATCAGATATTCCTTGTGTGGTATGTGTATTTGTTGTTGGACTTATTTTGTCTATTCATTATTTTGGATTGATTACAAACTTTACATGTTATAAACACATATTTGGTTTTATTTGGTTTTTTTTTTTGGACAGAGTCTTGCTTTGTTGCCCAGGCTTAGAAGTAGTGCTGCGTCAGCCTAGCTCACAGCAACCTCAAACCCTTGCTAAGCGATCCTCCTGCCTCACCTCCTCGAGTAGGCTGACTACAGGCACTGCGCCACCATGCCCGCTATTTTTCTATATACTTGAGTTGGCCAGTTAATATTCTTCTTATTTATAGTAGAGATGGGGTCTTGCTCTTGTCGGCTGGTTTCGAAACTCCTGACTCAAGCATCCGCCCGCTCGGCTCCCCAGAGTGCTAGATTACAGGCATGAGCCACAGCACCTGGCGGGTTTTATTTTGTTGATCATTATTTCTTCACATTCAAAAGTCATACATATGAAATGTATGAAAAGGCTAGGAAAAGTTTATGAACACTAAGAGAACAATAAAAGACTTTGTGATATTTTGTATTGAGAACAACAGCGTACTGTAAGAAAAAGTTTTAGAGAATCGAGCCAGCAATCTTTTCTTTCAGTGAGTAAATTTTTAACTGTAATCCACATTACAATTTGTTTCTAAACGACTAATGAAGCTTATTATTTTCTGATATGTCTAGTCCTGTTCCTATTATTTTCCCCTAAAGCTTGTTTTATGGAACTGACGTTTAAATTATTGTGAGTTATGATAACTCATTGCTTTCTAGGAATGTAAAACAAGGCTAACAACAGAGAGTAATGACCCTCATTTTGGTATATTTTGGAGGGGAGGGAGCTGAGATTAATTAAGGGTGGCTTTAGTAGGAAACGTTGCTACTTTCATATTCTAAATTAGAACATAAACATTGTTTAAAAATAAAAATATGGAATAGACTAAGTTTTAGAATAAACAATTTTAATTAAAATGACGAATACTGGTTCAAAAACAGGATTCCACTAAATTTACTGAATAAATCCAATGGACATAACTTCTTTAGAACATAACTTCTAAAATAATTCAAAGGATAAGGGAAATAATTCAGAGAAGAACATAGTAAACTCCCTGCCCCCACTTAAAAGCATATAGATTTTACATGGTTATTCTTTGATTCCTGTTTGCTTATAAGGTACTGAATACTAGAAAGAATTAACTGGTTTTAGAGAATTTTTTACCTTATATATTATTATTCTTCATATAACCTTGTTTGATATTCAGAAGCTGAAATTTGTCTTTTGGTAGTACAAATTCTTTATTAAAGTGACTTCCTGATCACCCTAACTAACAGAAGGGATCACAGGTATGAAAGAAAAACAATTTGTATTTGAAATTTATTAATTAGTTTATAGGGCAAGTTCAACTACTAATTATAGACCTTTGGTATTTGCTTAGGAGTTTTTTTTTTGAAACAGAGTCTCGCTTTGTTGTCCAGGCTAGAGTGAGTGCCATGGCGTCAGCCTGGCTCACAGCAACCTCAATCTCCTGGACTCAAGCAATCCTGCTGCCTCAGCCTCCCAAGCAGCTGGGACTACAGGCATGCACCACTATGCCCAGCTAATTTTTTCTCTATATATTAGTTGGCCAATTAATTTCTTTCTATTTATAGTAGAGACAGGGTCTCCCTCTTGCTCAGGCTGGTTTCGAACTCCTGACTTTGAGCAATCCGCCCACCTCGGCCTCCCAGAGTGTTAGGAGGACAGGCGTAAGCCACCACACCTTGTCAGGGTTTTTTTTTAGAGAGGAAGGAGGGGCCTTTGACAAATTTATTGCTTGAGTATGCGGAAAGGACATGTAGGATGATGGTGGCAGCAGAAAAAAAAACCGCTGAAGTATTTATTTAGTATGGTTAACCTGCCAAATAGCCAAACAGAATCTGGCTGAACATTTTGCTCCTAAAAGGTATTTAAGTATCAACATTCAATTTTAAATTATATGAAAATTTAAGATAATTATTTTGAAGCTAAAAAAAAGAGAGTTCTTGCATACTTGTGTAATTCCTTCTCTTGCCGTTGCAGTTCTGATGATAGCAAAACATTTTCCTTTTTTAGAGAATGGCATTCAGTTTCCAATACATTCCACTCCTTTCTCAATTTCTCTAGTTCACCTGAAATAGTCCCAAAGCATGCTTTTAACATAAGAACATAACTGCTAAAATAATTCAAAGGATAAGGGAAATAATTCAGAGAAGAACATAGTAAACTCCCTGCCCCCACTTAAAAGCATATAGATTTTACATGGTTATTCTTTGATTCCTGTTAGTTTGCATCTATACCTCAAGGAAGTTCTATCATCTTGAACCTGAGTAGTATTTTCTTCCACTTCACTTTTATAAGACAAATAATTTTTTTTTTTTTTTTTTTTGAGACAGAGTCTCGCTTTGTTGCCCAGGCTAGAGTGAGTGCCGTGGCATCAGCCTAGCTCACAGCAACCTCAAACTCCTGGGCTCAAGCAATCCTGCTGCCTCAGCCTCCCGAGTAGCTGGGATTACAGGCATGCGCCACCATGCCCAGCTAATTTTTTTGTATATATATTAGTTGGCCAATTAATTTCTTTCTATTTACAGTAGAGATGGGGTTTCGCTTTTGCTCATGCTGGTTTCGAACTCCTGACCTCGAGCAATCCCGCCCGCCTCGGCCTCCCAGAGAGCTAGGATTACAGGCGTGAGCCACCGCGCCCGGCCCCAGCTGATAATTTTTAATAGTATTTAAACAAAATATAAAATTGTAAAATTTTTAAAAATGTATTGTAGAACTTGAAGTTCTGAAAAATGTGTTTTTAGCTCCAGTATAGAAACAATGCTTTATATAACCGATTGCTATCAAAAAAAGGTCATTTTGTACAAGAAGTTATCCCTTCACGTGTGAAAGGAACAGGAATAAAAAAAAGGTTAGCATTGCCAAAAGTTAAGAGCTTTATGTAAAATACATTTACCTCGCAATCTTGTTGCTTCTTCTCTCTGCTGGTCCTCACACTGTTGACATCGAAGCTGGAAACTGTTTTGCAGACTTGTAATTTCCTTCTCATATTCGGATGCTGCTTTCCTCCACTGCTCAAGCTCAGCTCGCACCTTCTTAAGCTCTTCTTGTAAAGAAGCAATGTCAGTGTCCCGCTCAGAGGCAGTCTTTTCTGCTGCTTGATGAAGGAGCAAAATTTCATCTCGGGCACTAAGCAGTTCATCTCTAGTGCCTGTGATTTCACTGTCCTTCTCCTCCCGGAGACTCTCAATATCGATGTGTAACCTCTGCAGTTGGGCTACAAAAGTATATTTATCCATCATTTTCTTAGCCCATATGAGTTAGGAATAAAAGAACTGCTCATACAAGATTGTAGCTACTGCAAAGCCTAAGCTGTCATACCTGTTGCTTACATTGTCTAAGCAGAAAAATGTCAAAATACAGATAATTAAAGAGAAAAAACCAAAGTGACCTTTATTTCCCTAACAGAGAAAATTGCTTCCAACGTTTTGGTATTTATTCTTCTAAATTTTTTCCTATGCATTTAAACACATATAAAAGTAAACATTTAATAGGGAGTGATCACAATATATACAGTGTTCTCTATCCTCTTGTTGACAGAAATCTTTCAACAAATAATAGTTATACTATAACTTATTTGACCCATTCCTTATTTTACACATAATAGGCTGTTTTATGTTCAATTACTATATACAATATTGTTTATAATGCAGTCCTGATTATTTTCCTAGGGTAAAACTTACATGTAGAATTGCTTGGTAAAATGGAAAACATTAAACATTTGATGTTCTTGATTCATTTTTCTGTTTAAATGTCAATTCCTTAAAGAGGCCTCTAATAATTTATCTAAAAAAACAGTCCTCTAAGCACTCTCTAGCCCTTTACTCTGCTTTATTAGTATTATTTTTTTTTGGAGACAGAGTCTCACTCTGTGTGCCATGGTGTCAGACTAGCTCACAGGAACCTCAAAGTTCTGGGCTCAAGCAATCCTTCTGCCTCAGCCTCCCAAGTAGCTGGGACTACAGGCATGCGCCACCATGCCCGGCTAATTTTTTTGTATATATATTAGTTGGCCAATTAATTTCTTTCTATTTTTAGCAGAGACTGGGTCTTGCTCTTGCTCAGGCTGGTTTCGAACTCCTGACCTCGAGCAATCCCCCCGCCTCGCCGTCCCAGAGTGCTAGGATTACAGGTGTGAGCCCCTGAGCCCGGCCTATCTTTTCCACCAGACTGTACACCTCATGTGTGCAGGGCTTTAGTTTTGCTGACTATTCTTTCCCTAATACCTGACAGAGTAAACACTGAAGAATCATTGGATGGATTAATGACTTGATAAAATCAACAAATACTGCCTAATTGAAGAGGTATATGTATTTTTAAAAGATCTGGTCTTGTGCTCTCATGACCCAAATCGAAAACAATATGAAATCATAGCTGGTGCAGAACTAGAATACTAGCCCTGCTTACCATAACACAAAGATATTACAGATAGAAAAAATTCCAATGGACAATAATTAATTAATTATAAGAGGATTTAGGGCTCAGAGAGGGGGAGATTGTCGCATAAATAAACATTTAAGAAAGTACCCTTTAAGTCTGTCGGAAGGATTGAGAGGTAAGAGGGTCAAAATCTGAAATGGCACAATGGCTAGCGATAAGATGACCACAGACTTGTTGGTAATGTCCTGAAATATATACGCTGGCACTAGGGGGCACTCAATGATGCCTAGAGAAGACAGCTTTAAGACAAAAGGCAGCACTATGAGTGTCAGAGCCTTTAGGGAAAATTGCCCATAAACAGTACAGGATGGAAATACAGATTCAAGTCATATTTATATAAACTAATGGATAGTGGATTAAACTACAATAAGAATTTAAAGAGTTTTCAATTTAAAAACACATATGATCTATACTAGAAATTCTAATTTGACCATAACAGAATACTAAATTTTTAATAATTCAAATGTCCCACCCACAACATAAGAAAAGAAGCCCCCAAAGACTAGTTTTTCTCTGGAATATTTTTGGGCAAGTATCATAAGCCTTACATAATGAGTTCCCTTCTCTTCTGAACTGTGATTACATGTCTATTTATAATTCCTTCCCACCCTACCTCTAAGTAACATTGGTTCTTTCTTTGACAATGAAGGCAAATTAATTTTGCTTTAGGAATTTTATAATGGCATGGGAAAGAAAGACCTCTTCTGGGGTATCTCACAAATATAGATTCACAGTACCAGAAGCTCCAGCTTGAAGTAAACACTTTATAGGCAAGGGTTTTTCTGGTCATTTCTGTAATGATCTTGCAATAGCCCAGACCAAAAAAAAAAAAAAAAAGCAAAATGGTGGATATGAAGAGCAGCTCTCACCAATGAAGGTGATACAGAGACCATTATTCTATATCATGTGGTATATAATTTTTACTGCAGCGCAAATGTGTTTTCAGCATTAGATATCAGCAAGCTATAAGTGCTGAGCACAGAGCAGCTCATATAAATTTCCTATCTAAAGGCCCTCTCTGTAGTAACTCACAAGATAACTCAGAGAGTGATTACCAAATCGAAATCTTGAACCCTGCTCTTTCCACTCTAAGTATCTAATACTGGAATACTGGAGATTCTTCCCTTTTATCTTCTTAAGGAAATAAAGCTCCACCAAGAAGCCAGTTATAATGTAAGGTTTTAGGAAGAACCAAAGCCATGAAAAATGGGGACCCTGTGCATTTTTACTTTCCATTCCTTTTGGATCACTAAAAACAAACAATAACAATCTCAAATAGCCTTGGTTCTCCATACCTTGAAGAACCTGTATTTGTTTAGTGGACTCCTCAACTTGATTTCGATAGGCTTTTCTTTCTTCTTCCAAAAGAGCTAAAAGTGAAAACACAGTATATCTATTAATAATTTTGTGAGTTAATGAGAGTATTCAGAATTGAGCAGCTGGAAATTTCTCAGTAGTTCTCTCCTAACGCCTACTGAAAGAAACAAAAGTTAGGCAGTAAGTATTATTAGTATGAGTAGTTAGTTTAAAGATTTTAGGAACAGTAGTAAGTCATAAATCTATTTAATCGAGTAGTAGAGTTTTCTGTTCCTTGTATTGCTAAGATGGTATCTGCTATTCTTCACATAAGAAGCATTCTTGATAATTGCTAATCAGCATTTTGGGCTTAAATTTTTAAAAACAGACTTAAAATCCTAATATTTACTGTTGAGCACACAGTAAGCACTGAACTAAATAACTGCTGACTGCTTACTAAAAATTTTCCCATTGTAATTAAATATATTAGCCTGGACTCTCCAAAAAGTTCAAATTAAATGAATACCAATTCTAATTTCTTCAAAAAGGAGGAAAGGAAAGAAGTAGTAACAGGAAGTCCCCAGTTCCCTCCTGGGATGTGAATCTTCCTAATTGTCAGGAAGGCCATCTTAGAGAACATGAGCCATTCACTTTCTCCTCATTTTAAGACTCTCTAAAATGCTAACTGACTACAATCAGGTTAGTTACTGTGAATGATAAAGAAATGTAAGCTTTAAGGAATAGCACCGACTCTACTGGCTTAGGACACTACAGATAAGTGAGCTACTAGAAAACCAAGTACCCAGGACATTAGAAGATTCTATACCATAATCTTGCCTGGTTCCTCACATTGCTGATGAATATACTATAAAAGCACAGGAAACTTAGAAATTTATGTTTTTTTCTTTTTCTTGTACTTAAAATGTAATTAACTATAAAGATCTTTCATTGGTAGAGATCTTACTTGGTCTTCACATCAATAATGGGAAAGAAGACTAATTGTATCTCTCTTCATTTTACTGCTCTAAAATATAAGTTTAGGGAGGTCAAGTGAATGTCCCAAGATCACATATTTAATAAATTTGTGGATCTGGAACGATATCATGTCTCTGGTCTCCAAGTCTGGGGCCATCCAATTATATCATGCTGCTTCCACACATTCCCCTAAGGAGTCAAAGTAATCTTGATCTCACCTTGAAGTTCAAAGCACTTTTGTTTACTTGCTCTAGCTAGCTCCTGGGCTTCGATCAATTCCTTGCGGAGATGCTGAATTTCTTGTTTTGCCTCAATTTCTGACTGTGCACCCTCCAAGTCATCTGACAAAAACATTTTTATTTTAAAAGCAAGAGTTAGTATCACACTATAATCTCTATAATCAACTGGCAAAATTGCTTTCATGTTTAGACACACACAGTTAAACAACACAGAACAAATGAATTAAATAAAACTTAGAAGCAAATTATAATAAGTATTTTAGTCATTTTATCCTAGAGAAAGAATACAAATACGGTTAAATATTAACACATATATTAGTAATTCATGGTAATGGCACTTAAAAACATATATTTACATTTATTAAATTATATATTTTACTCATGGAGAGATTATGTAAGCAAAATTTCACTTGGAACTTAACTGGAAATAGAAACTGAAAAAGGTTTTAGCATGATTACACCCATTACGGTATACAAAATAAAAACTAGGCTAAAAGCTCTGTTATACCCTTTCTCATCACCATTTTCCCAATACCACACATATAACAAAAAAAATTTGCTGAATTTTTAAATGATGCAACTTAAGTGGTTTTATTGAAATTAATTAAATCAAGCATTGTGTCTCAAATATGTCTCCTCCCCCAACCTCCTTCCTCTCCAATCACATTGTTCATCATTATATTAAAACTTTCTGCTACTGAACATTGCCTGAAATAAACATATCATGTAAGCCATATTCTTCTAGTGCACTTTTTTTTTTTTTTTTTAAGAGACAGGGTCTTTTTTTGTCACCCAGGCTGGAATGCAGTGGCAGGATCACAGCTCAGTGCAATCTCAAGCTCCTGGGCTCAAGCAATCCTCCCACCTCAGCCTCCTGAGTAGGTGGGACTACAGGTACCTGCCACCAAACCTGGCTAATTTTCTTTTCTCTTTTCTTTTTTGTAAAGACAAGGGTCTTGCTATGTTGCCAAGGACAAACTCCTGTCCTCAAGCAATCCTCTCACTTTAGCCTCCCAAAGTGCTGGGATTACGGATGTGAGCCCACTGAACACAACTTGTAATTCATCTCTAATGTCTATTTTTTTTTTTTTTTTGAGACAGAGTCTCACTTTGTTGCTCAGGCTAGAATGAGTGCTGTGGCGTCAGCCTAGCTCACAGCAACCTCAAACTCCTGGGCTCAAGCAATCCTCCTGCATCAGCCTCCCAAGTAGCTGGGACTACAGGCATGTGCCACCATGCCCGGCTAATTTTTTCTATATATGTATTAGTTGGCCAATTAATTTCTTTCTATTTATAGTAGAGACGGGGTCTCGCTCTTGCTCAGGCTGGTTTCGAACTCCTGACCTCGAGCAATCCCCCGCCTCGGCCTCCCAGAGTGCTAGGATTACAGGCGTGAGCCACCGCGCCTGGCCTTCTAATGTCTATTAAAGCAGATAATTCTTGTCCGCAGCAGGATACTTTTCTTGATCAGTGATGTTGTGAAACAAAACTAATATTTGCTTTTCAAACTAAATAAAAATGAAATAGGTATTATGCTAAGTAATTATGTTTCAAGAGATGAAACTTAATCTAGGCAATAATGAGTTGTGTCAACAAAGGGATCTATTAATATTAAATAGTATTTGCAAACTAGTTCTTTGTACTATATAATGAAAGAGATTGGTATTTTAATTAGAACAAATAAGATACCTTATATCATATAATGTAAACATATAAACTCTATACAGTGTTTGATCATAGAAGCAGAGATAGCAAAAATCTTTACAAATTAAGTTTAATATGATAAACACAAACATGATAGTTTGACTATATTCAAACTAATCAAGCAGTTAGTGTGCAGATCCTCCTAGAAAACCAAGTGCCAATTTTTTACCAAAAACTAATAAGCAATTCTTTTTGTGACAAGGTTGATCAGGGCTCGTTCATTTCATATGGTTGTATAGGAAATTGCATTTTTAGTTTATTGTGGCTTGGGTCCACCCTTATGGTGATTCATTTTTGTTCTAGAAAGGGAGTTTTGTATTAATCTACTTGACAATCTTGGGAAAATTCTTATGATGAGCACTGGCGAAAAAGTGCCTTTTTTTTTTTTTTGAGACAGAGTCTCACTTTGTTGCCCAGGCTAGAGTGAGTGCCGTGGAGTCAGCCTAGCTCACAGCAACCTCAAACTCCTGGGCTCAAGGGATCCTCCTGCCTCAGCCTCCCGAGCAGCTGGGACTACAGGCATGCGACGCCATGCCTGGCTAATTTTTTCTATATATATTAGCTGGCCAATTAATTTCTTTCTATTTATATTAGAGACAGGGTCTCACTCTTGCTCAGGCTGGTTTGGAACTCCTGACCTTGAGCAATCCTCCCACCTCAGCCTCCCAGAGTGCTAGGATTATAGATGTGAGCCACCGCGCCCAGCCCGAAAAAGTGTTTAGATGAAAGTAAATGAAAGCCTTACTGAGCCAAATTCATTTTATTTAAACCCACAAGTCAAATGGAGAGAAATGTTACTTAGGAGTTATGATGAGGAGGAAAGGTTATCAGAACGTGCTTTCCCCCAACACGAATGGCATATCTTTATAACTGTCTGTTGCATAGTCTGAGTCACGAGCCAGCTTTTCTTAGACTAAAGGCTAAATCCTGTAAATTCACACTATACATCAACCCACTAAATTAATCAGCCCTGGACCACAGAATACCTACATGGTACCCTAAATTAAATCTGGTGTTACCAAATATCTTCTGAAGAGTGACTAGAGATCCAACTTAAACTCTAACTTTTGTTCTAAATGTGGTTGAGACACATTAAACCACTTGGTAAAGGGCCACTTAAAGTGTTTTATTTTACTAAGTTCTATTTTGTGTATGCTTGTTGAAGGCTGATCTAGCCACCGTAAGTCACTTCATTAACTGATAGAAGTGATCTGGCTGAGGCAGCTGGCCAGGTGGGTACATCTTCTTTATACTACCATCACTTCTCCTTTCTTAGAAGGTCTGGTCATTGCAGGCTTGCTTGATAAGAACAACCTTCACTATGGAGAAAGACCATTTTTTCATCATAGATATGTGCAGCTCCGTGAGACAGCCTCAGGCGGCAGCCTGGCTGAAAGTTTAACCTTGGCAGTGGCAGTGGCCTCTTATTATTGATTCTCACCCCTTTGCCACTTCTTCTGACTAGCCAGCTTCCTTCTTATTGAGAGGGAATCTTTTGTTGGCTCCTTTGTCCTCCCGTTGTTCCTTTCTTTCTTTAGCCACCCCCCACCCCACTCACACACCAACCACCCCTATGCAGAGAATTCCCACACCTGACTGCCGCCTTCAGTCTGGCCAAGTCTTTCGCCACATTTGCCCCACACGGCCGCTGCTCCCGCACTCTTGTACGCTTTCCTCCTGGCGGGTATTATTGCCACTTTAGCCATTATTCCTGTTTGGAAAAGTATTATTTTTAAGAAATGCATGGCTTCCTTTCTCGTTTTACTTATTTTTAATCAACTCCTTTGGGAATCCCATCCTGACCACTGCTCCACCTATCCTGCCTCTGGCAGGGAAGTTAGTTGTGCTCTCCAAAGGCCCCACCACATCTATTAAAACACGTATTGCACAATCAGTATATCTCTTTTCTCCTAAGACTGCAGCTTTCTTATGTATCGTATCTATGTATCTACCAGGTCAATATATATCTCAGAAATAAATGCAAATGACTTTTTGGTCCTAGTTTGTGTTCTATACTTCCAGCTGCATCTCCAGGTCCTAGTGTGATCATAGAAAACCAGGACATCTTTGAATGTGAAACAAAGCACTTTTAATAATTATGCTGGGATAATAGGCATAAAAGGCTCCAGGCAAAGCAGAACCTACGGTCATCCTTCCATTTTAGCATGTGCCAAACTAAAACCAACACTGTCCACATCGGGACACCTTTTCTTCCAGAAATAAAGATTTCTGTTAATGAATTATACCATCCTCTTTTCAGTCACTCAGGGTCAACTGCTGGAATTATATCTGACTTCTACTTTTCTCCCTTATTTAGGCCTATGAATTTCTCATGCCTATGAATTCTAGATGAGATTACCAAGGGAGAGATGAAAGATAAGAATAGAGCCCCAAATTAGATATTGTTCTTTTAAATTTCCACAGCAGGCCGGGTGGGCGTGGTGGCTCTCACCTGTAACACTAGCACTCTGGGAGGCCCAGGAGAGAGGATCCCTCAAGGTCAGGAGTCCGAAACTAGCCTGAGCAAGAGCGAGACTCCGTCTCTACTAAAAATAGAAAGAAATTAATTGGTCAACTAATATATATAGAAAAAATTAGCCGGGCCTGGTGGCGCATGCCTGTAGTCCCAGCTACTCGGGAGGCTGAGGCAGTAAGTATTGCTTGAGCCCAGAAGTTTGAGGTTGTTGTGAGCTAGGCTGACGCCACGGCACTCACTCTAGCCTGGGCAACAAAGTGAGACTCTATCTGAAAAAAAAAACACTAATTAACTGACCAACTAAAAATACATACAGAAAAAATTAGCTGGGCATGGTGGCACATGCCTGTAGTCCCAGCTACTCAGGAGGCTGAGGCAGAGGACTGCTTGTATCCAGAAGTTAGAGGTTGCCGTGAGCTAGGGTGATGTCACGGAACTCTAGTCCAGGCAACAGAGTGAGACTCTGTCTCAAAAAAAAAAAAAAAATTCCACAGCAATCATCCTATGTTAGACTTTCAATGTTTACCTAAGTCTCCTGATTGCCTTACTTGTAACTTCTACCTACTCTAGTTCATTCAATAAACTTTCCCAAATACAGATCTGATCATGTTATTTCTGTGCTCAGGAGCCATTGAACTATAACAACCACTTCAACTTATAACACACTCAAATAGTTATGTGAGCAAACTTTAATTACACAAGTCAATCCATATCATCACCTTGTAGTTTTTAATAATTCCTTTGCCTGAGAAAGTATCTTGATCTATTCTTCTTGTAATCCTACCCATTTAAAAATGTTTTCTTGTTTTTTGTTTTTGAGACAGAATCTTGCTCTCTTGCTTGGGCTAGAGTGGTGTGGCATCAGCCTAGCTCACAGCAACCTTAAACTCCTGGACTCAAGCGATCCTCCTGCCTCAGCCTC